AAAAAAAAAAAAAAAAAAAAAAAAAAAAAAAGAAAAACAGCCTTGTACTGGACCTGCGCCAGAATCCCATGGGGTTCCTGGAACTCCAGTCTGGCTGGGAAGCTTCCAGAGACTTCTTGACACATCTCCCGGGGTAGAGCTGTTTCCCAATTGTGCTGTAAGTCTGGAGCAATTCTCAAAGACTCCCAAAGAGAAAGGACCATGGAAGACTAAGGATTCGGGAGTCAGATTTTAGAAGCAACCAAAATATTTGACTCTTTATTAAAGCAAGATTTTTTTATTTTTCCATAATAATATTGATAATTTGTGTATGGGGACAATGGACAGTAGTGGTTGGTGTGTGTAGACTTTCACCACTGACCTAGGTTCGAGGCTTGCTTCCCACAGTTAGTGCCTGCTTAGCCATGGTGAATTCCCCTCTAATCCTGGTTTCTGAATCTCCCCAGTGAAAATAATAATAGTTCTTACCTTGAAGACTTTTAAAATGAAATACTCCGTGTGGGTGTTTTAACACTCGCTGAATACTAGCTAGCATTACTGTCAAAAGCTGAGTAACGCTGGCAAACACACACCAAGAAAAGCAAAAGCAACTCTAATCCCCCCATCCATTCCAAAGCATATAATTCCAATTTTTTGGGTGCATTTTTTAAGAGCAACAGGGTAGTACTTTCTAATCCACAACTTGCTATTTAAATTCACCTCCCACCCCACCCATGCTCTAAGCATCTGCTATGTGATTCAGTATCCTGTACCATGTAGTGTTTAAAGGCCACGTGGCATTCCTGCAGTTGAAGTTTATTCTTTGACAACCCCTGCCCTCCTCTCAAGATGTAGGTCCCACAACACCTATATAACCCATCTCACTGGGGCAGACTTTCTCCTGGCTATTTAGAGATGTGGCCTCCACCTCACACTCCATCCATCCATCACACTCACCCTGAGATCAGGGACCCTTCTGTGGTCTTCTGACATCGCCAGCATCTCGCCACGGAGCCTAGACTGAGGCTGCTTAGCCAACCTTTGCAGCTGGATGCATGGCAGACTACCCTGTTTAACTAGATGCTTTCCATAATGGATGCAAAAGGGAAAGTGGCCAGATGGGCAGTTTTTCTCCAAACAGGAGAAGGTTGACTTCCAGAGCATTAGATACAGGATTAAAAATTCTCAGGAAGAGGAAGGAATGGAAGATTCTTATCAAGGTGCATTGTTTTCCTAAGCCATGAGACCATACAAGTTCGATGCTTACTTGATTTAAAGTAATGAAGGAGGCCCTAAAACTTCACGATGCTCTAGACCACTGACAGAGCCTTACAGATTTGTACAGATGTGAGGCTGTCAAACTGGGCATAAGTGAGTTATATCCTGTTTAAAATAAGCCCCTCCCCCATTTTCAATGAATTCAGCTTTTAAAATCCTTGTTTGTTTTATTTATTCTATCACAATGCCATATGTATATGAAGTGTACTTTGATCATCTCACCCCTCATTTCCCTGTCCTCTTGTCCCTCCTTGTCTCTGTCTCTGTCTCTGTGTATTCTGCTTCTAATCATGGTCTTTAAATCTTTATTTCTCCCCTGACCAGCTTTAAAAGGTTGTTTGCCGCATGTTTTATGATCCCATTGTTTGTAGAGAATTTCAAAGGCTTGTCTTCCTTCAGGGCTAGCTTAAGGACCTGAGTTCAGATCAATCCCCAGCACCCACATAAAACATTCAACTTGGCAAAAACAGGGCATGCCTAAGCAGAGACAGGGTGATGCTGGCATTTGACAGTCTGGTGGAAAAACCAATGAGCCCCAGGTTCAGTGAGAGACCCTGTCTCAAGGAAATAAAGCAGAGAGGGCGACTGAGCAGGGCACCCAACACCCTCCCCTGCCATCCATAGAAGCATGTACTCACACATACAACACACACACATAAACACACCCTCAAGAAACAGAGGTGTGTATCTCTCACATAAGGTGAGGTGCAGAATCCCCCTGCAGTTCCTCCCACACAGCTCAGTTTTGATGAAGCCCTGGCTGCTTCCAGCAGCTCTGATTCTGAGCTGGTGATGCAGACCCACCAACCTCACTCAGTCCCTAAAAGACAAACAGAAGGACAACAGAAACTACTCCCAAATCCATCCGCATAGTCCTATGCAAGACTCAGAGGACTCTCTGGAAGCACCCAGAGAACCAAGCCCATCATGGAAACATTGATTCAGCCATAATAGGAACCGACATAAAAACCACACAAATGAACTAAACAGCTCTTCCACCCAATCAGAACTCAGCTAAAGCTACAGCCTCGGGGCTAGAATAAGTGTGCTGTCTTTTTTTGTTTTGTTTGTGGTCCTCCTCATTTTAGCCTCTTCCATTATTCTTTCACTTGTTTGCATGACTGCAGATGGGAAAGACAACAGCCTTCCTGTCCAAGCATGTCAGGCAAATTAAAACCTCTAGCCTGGGGGAGGCTGTAATAGCTGGGTTAGAGCAGTCTAAAAACAAGCTCCCACTAACACAGAACCTTTACTTTTGGAAGATCACCTTTTGCATGGTATTTTTATTTACTGTTCGTTGCGTTTTGTCTGTTTGTCTGTTTCACTTATATAGAGGGGGCAGAGCGTGTGCTACATACATGGGCTGAATGTGGAGAACAATGTGAGGGAGTGGATTTTCTCTATGCACTGTCTAGGATCCCCAGCAATCCAACTGAAGTCGTCAAGACTTAGCAGCAATCACCTTTAGCCCCTGAGTTAGCTCATGGGCCCCGAACAGAATCTTTTGGCTAGCATTTTATTTTTCTTTATGAGCTTTGCCATTCAATTAGATTAGCTGTCATTGTTGGGGGGACGTTCAGTTGGAAGGTAAGGAGACAGACGACAGACAATTAGATATCCAGGATGGGTGCTACTGAGCCATACACATAGTAGAATCCTAAAAGGAATATATTTTCATTCACACCTGCACCCACAAGGTCCACGTGCCTAGTCCCGGAGCAGGTCACTGCTGCAGCAAATACTAGGGCAGAGTGTGTCGACACCTGTGTGACCCCTTGGCCTGGATGGCGTGGCCTGGCTGGTCATCTCAGAGGACAAGAGGGGATGCAAGTGAACCCAGTGGCGAGAAGGAACAGGACCCAGGAGCAGGAGCCAGGAAGGGTGTGTGTGTGTGTGTGTGTGTGTGTGTGTGTGTGTGTGGTGGGGGGTATCTTAGGGGTGAGGATCCTGAGCTCTGGCGGACAGGGTCTGTGGCTCAGGTCTGGGTAGACCATGCATGGGTCCCTACAGTCCCCTCCCCGTCCTGCCCGGGAACCTAACTGTTCGTGCACTTGGGTTTTCCTTTCTTTATAGTCAGGCCCAGGACAGAGAGAAGTCTGCTGCGGGGCCCAGAACCTCATTGGCCCTGGACGCCCCCGTAGGGTGTCGAGGATGGGCAACCCAGGAGATGTCCTCTGCCCCCGCCCCCAAACTCCAGAGGCGTTTGGAGCGACCCCACCCTGGGGGGCGACCCCACCCTGAAAAGGGGCTCCCCCCAAGCCTCCTCCTGCCCGTCCCTGGGGCTGATCACTCACGGGCAGCGCGGCTGGGGCTCCGACTCTGGCTGCGGCCATGGCCATCCACATAGGGAAGAGGAGAGGGGAGGAAGGGGAGGGAGAAGGGGAGAGAGAAGGGGAGGAAGAAGGGGAGGAAGAAGGGGAGGGAGAAGGGGAGGGAGGGCCCTGGCGACTGCGGGGAGGGGGGCATCGCGCGGGCATTCCTTCAGTCCCCGCCCCGTTTCCCCTGCGGGATCCTCCCTTCTTGGTCCTTCCTCCACCCTGGATCCCACAAAGTTTTTTTAGTGTGAGATTGGACATTCTCTCCTCTCCACGAGCCAGCTGTCCCGCGCAAGTCTGTAGTTTCCAAAGGGAAGAGAAGTAGCTTAACCCGCAGAAGCTGGAAGAGGCGGGGTGGGGGTGGGGGGACTGACTGGTCACCAAATTTTTCTGGAAGCCTCTATGCCGGGTCCACAGGAAAGGATGGGTGGTCATGCTAAAAATCCCTCTTTCCTGGGTGAAATCAGCACTCACAGATGACCAGGTGAGTGAGCGAAGGACCAGGCTGTGCCGAAGGCAGGAATACCACAGTGCTTCCTGCACGTCTCTGGGGGAGCGCAGGAGACAGGGAAGCATTGGTTCCAGAATAGCACTTTCTCTACTCCTTGCCTGCCAACAGGTGACTGTCAGCACATCTTGGCCTCTTTCCCAAGTGAGACTGAACCAGTCACAACAACAAAAATGGAAGTAGGGCACCCTTTTTCCTGGAAGGTCACCCAATCCCAGAATGGAAACTTGAGTTGGACTGGCTAGGGTGTGCAGGAAGAGGACATTCCAGGCCCTAGGGTGGTTTGGAAGGGCGGGAAATGATGTAATGGAGTGTGAAGTGTAAAAGAAATCGTAAAGGTTTCTAAGCAGGGCCTTCTGACTCGAGTGGGTTCCCATTCTTTTTACATTCCCCGGGATGGACACTCAGTGGGACACCCAATGAATACCCGTGCGTGGACCCAGAATGGCAATTAAGAAATTTTGGTTTAGTGGCCCACAGGGTGGACTGCCTGGGAAGAGGACTGTGTAAGTTAGAGGGCATCTCAACCTGAGCACTGGGCTGCCAGGTGGGAGGAAGCTGGGACTCCTGGTGGAGCATCTCTATGAACTCATACAGCAGTGGGGTTCCCCTTAAAAACACCTACCTTTCCCCCTCTTCTCCCTCTTCCTCTTTTCTCCCTCCAATCTCTCTCTCTCTCTCTCTCTCTCTCTCTCTCTCTCTCTCTCTCTCTCTCTCTCTCTCTCTCTCTCTCTCTCTCCCTGTGTGTGTGTGTCTCCCTCCCTCTCTCTCTAGCTCTCTGCTTCTCTATTCCTCTGTCTCTCTTCCCACAAGACTGCTCTGCAGCTCCCTCCTCCCCATAAAGAAACCCTCTACATGGGAACCCCTCCTACAAATGTAGTTTTGGTGGCCTGGTAAAACCTGGTAAAACAGAAAAGATATTCAAGTACTCCGTCCAGCCACCAGGATCCAGGGAAGAAATAGATCTCCAGAGAGGGCATAGGTGTGTCTGATGCCACACAGTCAGGCACAATTGGGATGATGCTATTCTCTGATAAGATTTCTAATTGTGTTTACACTTGGGAGCACAACACAAATAACATAAATAAACAAACAGCAGAAGGAGTGCCCCTCACCTCCTCATTTCCCCTCATCCTAGATCCTAGGTCTGAGGTCTGGCAAGCAGGAGCCCAGAACATAGGAAGTAAAAACCTGGTAATGTTGGTGGGGATTTTCCTACAGAAGCAAACAGGAACTGGTCAGCCTTCTAGTAAGGAGGTGAGGGGACTGAAGAGCAAAAAGAGCAGAGGTAATGAGAAAGATGGGAAGAAAAAAAAAAAAGCGGGGTCTGGATAAATATGGCCCTGTGGTGCTTTCCTACCATGCAAAGCCTGGAGTTTGACTGCAGCACCATGTTCTGTGTATATGTATGGCCATGTGTGGGTGCGTGCATGTGTGTGTAGTTAGAGAGGCCAGAAAATGGCATCAGATCCCCTGGGGATGGAGTTACAAGCAGTTCTGAGCTTCCCAGCCCGGGGGCTGGGAATTGAACTCCAGTCCTCTGTAAGAGCAACACGGCGCTCTTAACCACAGAACCATCTCTGTAGACCAGAGAACCAAATTACATAGACGATAGATAGATGGTAGATAGATATGATAGAGATAGAAAATAGATGAAAGATAGATGATAGATTATAGATAGACAAGATAGATAGATGATAGATAGATAGATAGATAGATACATAGATACATAGATACATAGATACATAGATACATAGATACATAGATAGATACATAGAGAAGATAAATGATAGGCTGGGCGTTGGTGGCATACACTTTTAATTCCAGCACTCGGGAGGCAGAGGCAGGTGGATCTCTGTGAGTTCAAGACCAGCCTGGTCTACAAGACCAGCACAGCCTCCAAAGCCACAGAGAAACCCTGTCTCGAACCCCCCACCAAAAAAAAAAAAAATAGATGATAGGTAGACACATAGAGACAGAAGAATGATAGACAAGATAGATAATAGAAAGACAGGTAGATATATAGAGATAGAAGACAGAGAGATAGATGATAGGTAGATAGAGATAGAAGATAGTGATAGATACAGATGACAGATGATAGAGACAGACAGACAGACAGACAGACAGACAGAGATAGATAGATAGATAGATAGATAGATAGATAGATAGATAGATAGAAAGAAAGGTGTCTAAGTTATGCTGTCCCTGTGCCTTCTGCCAATAGTTTCCAAGGAGGCCAGCCCATCACAGAAATGCCATGGCTAACTGAAGAGAAGAGGCATACAGAAATCAACACACTTGCAAAGGTCACTACCACTACAACAGTTTAATTTCGTCATCTTTGAAATAAGCAGTATGGCCTTGATTAGTGGAGTAGCCCAGCTGGTGAAAGAAATCTCACAGAAACTTTTGACATTTCTGAGGAGCAAAAGGGCATGTAATTTTCTAAAGACTACCACAGTTCATTGAAACCTGTTCAATCTTTTAACTAGGAGCAGTCCTCCCCTTCTGTGACTCAGCATCTCTCTGGAGCTTGCTACTTTCATAAACACAGATTTCTTTCTTCAGACTCCAGCACGTATCTGCCTAGGAGTGAGCCTCTCTGGCAGCATCCTTTTTGTATTAAAATCTTGTGGTAAACAGCTTAGCCTATCCACAGCAAAGCCACCACAGCCATGTCACCAGCTGGGACCCTATTTTATTCCAGCTCCTTTCCCCTGCTGCACAATAAACAGACCCCCCCCCCCCCGAGAACAGGAACAGTCTTCTAGTTTGTATCCAGAGCTTTCCTTTTCCCGACAGCCTTTTCATGGAACCACTGAGAACTGCCCAGGAGATCCCAGAATTCACACAGCAGTGGGATTCTGTTATAAACACTTCTGGTATCGTCTTTGTGACCTTGCAAAACCTAGTAAATAGAAAAGATGTTGAAGCAGTCTGCCCGACCACCAGGATTAAAAGAATCACAAGATCTTCAAAGTTTCTGTAGTGGGACCTGGGGATAACTCATCTGGATACTTTAAAATTCTTCAAACCTAAGTCAGCTAAAGCTATTGGGATCAATAGACCTTCAGGAGAAGGGTCAGGCTTAGTCTCAAATGGTTAATGAGAACACTATTCCTCTCTCAGACTTCAAAAACCGTTCAAGGCAAAGTGATAGCTCTGGGGAAACCGTATTAAAGAAGAAATCACTTGGTACACAAATTTTTTACATGTATGAAACATTCTGAGCTGACCTGAGTTACTGCTAAGTATCCTTTTCTAAGGAAATTCAACTACACTTCAGATGCAGACTTACTGAGCTAAAAAGCCTACATCTTCACTGAGAATGCCAACCAAAAGCAACCATATAGATTCCAACCAGACAGCAACTGACAGTCATTTATCATAAAGATAAATGACTGGTATGGCTTGAGATACACTGACTGGTGGCTACAGGTGGCCCATGGCTCAGTGCCTAAGAAATATCCAATGCCTAAGAAATATCCAATGAGCATCTATTGCCTGCTAAGGTCTGCTTCCTGTTTCAAGTACCCGCAGATGTTGAGGTAGATGATATAGATTAAAATACAATGTGAAAATTGTCTGTCTAACCCAATTAAAGAGGTGACCTAAATAAGAAAGACTATGCACTGATGCATGCCTATAGCAGTCAGGAGACTGAGGGAGGAAGGAAGATCACGAATCCAAAGCCTAGCAGGAAGGAAGGAATGGTGGAAGAAAGGGAGGGAGGGAGAGGCCAAGGGAGAATATTTTTTAATATTTGAGCAGGATGTGACTGACATTCTGTTAGCTGGATTATTTTTATTCTTGGGCCTTGAAGATTTCCCTCCTGGGCATCCCACTATATTCCCTAGTGTTTAGGAAAGCAGGGGGGTGGAGTTCGGGAATAATTAAAGCCTCCAGTAAAACCAACCATAAGGTTCCACCTGGCTAGCTTCCCTTTGAGGCCCCTCCACTGGAAGGCTCCACCATGCTTCTCTGCTGGGTTTTCCTAGTCTTTTCATGGGAAGTTGTTCGAACGTCCTCTAGCCTTTTCTTCCAAAGATTTGGAAAAACAGAACTACACTTGCCAGCTAGCCTCCTAATTTGGAGCTAATTACCAAACTGCTCAGAAATGTAAGGCAGAGGAATTTGCTTACTGACAGGACCCCCATTCATCACCATGGTATCTGAGGACATGGCTCTCAGCCGAGAACAGGAACTTCCTCTTCAAACACAGAATAGACAACCCTTGTTGGCGTGGCTCTCAGATGTTTTCTCCGAATCATCTACCATTGTCTATAGTTCTCTTCTTGTTAAAGTTACAGAGACTTTTAAGGGCTTTTAAAACGGGGGAGGGCTGAGCAGTTAAGATCACTTATTGCTCTTGCAGAGGACCCTGGTTCAGTTCCCAGCACTGACATGGTTACAGCCACCTATAACTCGGCTCTCTTCTGATCTTCTGATCTCTAGGAGAATCATGAGGCACATGGTGCACACACCCATGCATGCAGGCTAACATACATGCACATAAAAGGAAATAAATAAATCTTAAAAATACTATTTTTAAAGACCAGGACCAAGTCCAAGGGATAATGATGCATAAAACAGATCTATAAATTGCAC